CCGGGACACTGCGCGTGCCCGGTGTTGCTGGAGCACCGGCGCCCTGGCTGCGAGGGAGCGGAGGCCGGTGCTGGGGCCGCAGAGTAGTTTTCGGGGGTTTGTTTTCTGAGGCAGGGTCTCAGGTACCCCAGGCTGGCCTGAATTCCTCATCCCTCTGCCTCTCCTATCCAAGGGCTGGGATTATCAGAGTGCGGCTCTGCGCCACGGCGCGCGCTCTCTCTCTTTCTCTCGAAACAGGGTCTCATTCTGTGGTCTAGGCTGACTTTGAACTCAACGGCAGCCCTCTGCCTCAGCCTCTCAAATCCTGGGGTTACAAGCGGGCGCCACCATTACTGGCTTAGAAGTTGACTTGCAGATTTGAGCCAGGCTCTGCCCTTCACCTTTTCCCTGGTCTTGGTAGAGCAGGATGTTGTAATGGGAAAGGCCAGAAAATATCGAAAGCAAAACTGAAAACAACGCATACCCGTAGGAAATAAAAAACAAACGCTCAATGGCAACAATTCTGGGTCCTCTGGGGACGGTGAGAGATGGCTAAAAAATGTCTTAGAGGATGAGTGGCGTTTTCTTTTTTCTTTTTCTTTTTTTTTTTTCTGAATTTTTGAGACAGAGTTTCACTGTGTAGCTTTGGAGCCTTTTCCTGGAATTCACTCTTTTAAACGATAGTTTTATTGTTATTCTTGTTTGTTTTTTTAGAGACAGGGTTTCTCTGTGTAGCTTTGGAGCCTGTCCTGGATCTCGCTCTATAGACCAGGTTGGCCTTGAACTCACAGAGATCCGCCTGGCTCTGCCTCCCGAGTGCTGAGATTAAAGGCATATGCCACCACCGCCGGTTTATTGTTATTCTTTAAGCAATACATATCAAGTGGAAAGCCCTCGTGAAGTGAGGCTTTATTGTCAGTTTGGAATGGCAACAATATAGATTGAGACACATTATTTGTGTGGTACACTTACAGACCCTAAAGGGAGGGAGGCATTGAAATCTTCACTGAGAGATTTAGGGAGAGTGTATGTTTTATCCAGCAACCGTTTCCCGAAGAGAGCCCAGTGTCAGAGCTTCATTCTATGCATGGACACTCCCTGGACATTCCCCGTTTCTCATGAGTTTGTTTTCTGTCGCTGTGATAAACACCCGGGTGTAGAAAGGTTTATTTGGCTTACAGGTTACAGTCCATCATCAAGCGAAGGCTGGTTACTGGCTTACTTTCCCTGGTTTGTTCAGCTACCTTTCTTAAGACAGCCCAGGACCACACCTACCCAGGGGTCCAAAGACCCACCATGGGCTAGGTCCACTTCTATCACTTTAGCAATTTAAAGAGGAAAAAAAAATGCTCCACAGACATATGTCTGATGGAACAGTTGCTGGGTTGAGGTTCCTCTCTCCCTGGTGTCAAGTCGACAGCTGAAGCCGATTATGACAGCCATTACTAAGCAGTGTCTTTGCTGTGTTGTGAGGAAGGAGAGGTGTAAGAAGAATTCAGCCACATAGCAAAATCTCGGTGGTTGTCTGTTATCTTAAGCTAAATATAGACTGAGTCTTTATAAGCTAAAATGGCTTTATAAAAGGTTTCTGTGAGTGGAGTCTTTATTTTGAGACAGGGTCTCTCTCACATAGTAGCCCAAGCTGTTCTGGAACTCACCATGTAGCCCAGGCTGCCCTCAGACTGCGGTGACCCTCTGCCTCAGGCCCTGAAGTGCTGGGATTATAGGTTTTGCCACCACCACCCTAGCTCGGTTGGAATCACTTGACTCTGCATAGCTCACACACCTTCTTCCCGTGCTGATTTCACTTTATAATACAGGAACTACAGGAGGTTTTTAGGCTGGCCAGCGTTGGATCCTTAAGCTGACCATTTTATATCAGACTGGCCATTTATTTAGTCAGTGCTGGAGATGGGTCTCGTGGGTACCAGGCCAGAACTCTACCGCTGAACTACCTCCTCAGCCTTTACTTTTTATTTTCCGGCAGCATCTTACTCAGTTGGCCAGGCCGGCCTTGAACTCTCTGTAGCCCAGGCAGGCACCACCTCACGCTCACCACGCCCGCCAAACTACAGTCCAACCTCGGAGGCCTTATTCTACTTTTCTGATAGTCCGTGCTTTTTTAGAAGCTTTCTGCTCCAGGATTGAACCGGTTTCAGCTTCCCAAAGTAGTTGTAATTAAGGCCTGAGCCACCTGCTGCTTTACATTCCCAGCCTAGCCGAAGTACAGGTCCATTCCACCAGACTTAGCTCAGAATTGGTCCTTTTAACACTTCACTTCTTTACAGAAGGTCGTGAGCCACCATGTGGTTGCTGGGAATTGAACTCAGGATCTCTGGAAGAGTAGCCAGTGCTCTTAACCACTGAGCCATCTCTCCAGCCCAACACTTCACTTCTTACCCCGCACCGCACCTTAATCTCTTCACATCTGTATACCGGGAAGTTACATTTCCTCCAAGTTCAAGTTCATTCTCAGCTACTACAGTTCTAATCTAGCTATGTCCAAGTGTCTTCGCTTGTTTGTGTTCTTTGAGACTGGGCCTTGCTTTATAGCCCAGGCATCTGGAAATAGCTATTTAGTCCAGGCTGGCCGCAAACTCAGAGTAAAATTCTTGCTTTAGCCTCCCAAGTGTTGGGATTATAGGCTTGAGCCATCGTGCTAAGTCCTCATGGGATCTACAGCCTTAGAGCAGTGCTGAATGACTGTGAAAACAGTAATAGTAGTACCCCATGGACAAGCCTTTTTATTTAACCACTTTTGTGTTACTCATCTTTTTAGTTGGAGAGCATTTTCATGTTTACTTAGTGTTTAAAAATCAAGAGTATTGGGTTTCTTTTATTTATCTTTGATACTATTTTAAATGTCCAGTCTTAAGCTTTATTTACATTTTTGCCTTTTAGGTTCTTCAAGATCACGGAAAAGCCAACACCATGGTAGCATTAATGAAAGTTTATCAAGAGGAAGATGAAGCATATCAAGAATTAGTTACCACGGCAAACATGTTCTTCCAGTATTTACTGCAGCCATTTAGAGATATGCGAGAAGTTGCAACCTCATGTAAGCTTGATATTTTGGTATGTTTCCTGATATTTTTATCTTACTACCTGACGTGTATCGTTCTGTTAGTCACATAAGGTTCATTCTGTATTTTTATTCTGAGATCTTTATATTTAGATGATGTTATTTATTTATTTAAAGACAAGGCCTCATGTAGCCCAGGCTGGCCTCAAATTTACAATGTAGCTGAGACTGGCCTTGACACTTGATCCTCCTGCCTCCACTTCCCAAGGCTGTGATGGCAGGCAGTGTTCTTCAGTGGTAGAGCTTTGTGCCCAGCATGTCCTAGGCCCTGGACATAAAACCACAAACAACAAGAACAGCCAGGCCTGGTGGCACAGGTCTGTGAGTCTAGCCATTCAGGAGGTAGGCGTAAGGCCTGCCTGGGAAACTTAGTGAGACCTAGTTTCAAAATAAAGAGTGAGAAAGGACGGGTGGGGGCTGGGGGCTGTGGCTGTGGGGTGGACTGGACTGCCTGCTGAGCATGTGCAAACCCTCCCCCCTAAGAGGGGAGATCAAGGATTGAAAGTGAAGATATTGTGCTGCTCATTTTACCAATCCCTGCATGGACACTGTCCTTGCTGATGAATGGTTTTGATATGACATGTATTTCCTTCGTCTTATTTTGCACCTGTAAGAACAAATGCAGATTTCTTAGAAATGAGATGCAAATTTAAATAGCAGGGCCCTGGATTGTAATCAGTAATTAAGCTTTAGTAATTGCTGTCATTCTGACTCCATTAGGGTGACCCCATTTAGAAAAGGCATCATTAATATTGCCTTTTGTCCAGCCAGCTAGAACCAGGAGACGACAGCCAGATTCCCGCTCTCCTGCACTGGGCCATCTTTCCCTAGGTGCTTTTGTGACCTTGGCAGGAAGTTGTTCTGTGCATGCTGCTCTAACCCTCAGACAGGGTTGTTTTCATCACTGTTGGGAAAGTCTGTTGATTGGAGTGTGTGTGTGTGAGGTCATCATTGAAGTATGACTCATAGACCATGCATGGGAAGTGTACAATTCAGGACTTTTTAATACATTCAGGTTGTGTGACCATTACCAACTTTCTAATATTAGAACACTTTTTTCTTGTGTGTGTATGTGTGTGTGTGTGTGTGTGTGTGTGTGTGTGTGTGTGTGTAGCACACATGTGGAGGTCAGAGGACAACTTATGGAAAATAGGTTTGCTCTTTCCAGGGATTGGACTCAGATCATCAGGCTTAGCAGTAAGTGTCTTTACCCACTGAGCCATCTTTTTTTAAGATTATTTATTATGTATACAGTGTTCTGTCTGCATGTATCCCTGCAGGCCAGAAGAGGGCACCAGATCTCATTATAGATGGTTGTGAGCCGCCATGTGGGTGCTGGGAATTGAACTCAGGTCCTCTGGAGGAGCAGCCAGTGCTCTTAACCGCTGAGCCATCTCTCCAGCCACCCCCCCCAGCCATCTCTCCAGCCAACAATATTAGAATACTTTTACCCTCAAAAGAAACCTCATACCCACTAGCAGTCATTTCTCATTTTCTCCAGCCTTATGCAATCCCTAATCTACTTTGTCTGTATATTTGGCTGCTGTGGAAATTTTATTATTTTTATTTTTTTATCTTTGTGTATATGATGTGTGTGTATGTGCTTGTTTATGTGTGAGTGCAGGCTAGCTGACCCCGAGCTGCTGGAGATCTTGTCTCCATTGCTCATTTTGGCACAACACTTGTATTGTGAGCACATTATTGTGTTTGGCTTTAGATGGATTCTGGAATCTACTTTAGGTGGGTTCTAGAATCTGAACTCAGGCAAGGAAGGCAAGGACTTTCCCCTCTGAGCTCTCTCTCCAGCCCACAGAAATTTCAGATAAATGGAACTCCACAATGTGTGTGGGTTTGTTTAAGAATTGGCCATGCAGAGCCGTCAGGACTTCATTTCTTTTTATTGGCAGATAACTGCCATTATAAGAATATACTGCTCTTGCTTACCCATTAACCCTTGTTGGACGCCTGGATCATTTACACTTTTTATATATGAATAGTGCTTCCATCAACATATGTGTGTGCATACCTGTACTGTCCCACTCCCCTCATTTTTTTTAGTCAGGATCTCAACCATAGCTCAGACTGACCTGGTCACTAGTTTAGGATGACCTTGAATTCACAGCAGTCTTCCTCCCTCAGCCTCTGAGTGTGGGATTATAGGCACAAGCCACACTTGCCTTACATTCGTTTGTTTCTCTTGTGTATGCACTGGGAAGTGGAACTGCTGGTCACATGGTGATGTTTATCTTGTTTTTTAAAAAAAGTTTAACCTTTTGAAGGCTGCCAGACTGTTTCCCGAATCAAGTGCACTGTTTTAGTACACCTAAGTGTAAGCTCATATTTGTGTCAACACTAACACTTGATATGTTTTGTTGTTGGTTTTTTTTTTTTTGAGATCAGATATTGCTATATAGCCCATATTAGCCTTGATTCATAGCAGTTCTCCTGCCTCAAGCCTTCCAAGTGCTGGGATTACAATGTGTTACCATGCCTGCCTTCAACACTAGTTCTGTTTGTCTTTTTATCCAGGTGGGTGGGAAGTGGTATCTTGTAGCTTTGGCTTGCATTTGTGTAACACTAACCCACTCTGCCAGTGTCACTGAATCAAGCTTTGTAGAAGGAACCTGGATGCTTGGTGCACAGGAGCCCTTAGTTCAGGCTGTTGGAAGAGTGCACCGCAAACCAGACAGCTTGTAAACAAGAGAACTTGGCCTTGTAGTTCTGGTGGCTGGGAAGTCTAAGGACAGGCGCTGCAGACCTGGTGAGAGGAAATCGTTTGCTGGCGTTTGACTGGCTGTCTTGATGTGTCCTTACATAGTAAAGAGCAGAGAGACCTATGCCTTTCCCTTTTTATAAGGGCATCGTTCCTAATCATGAGAGCAGGATCCTCATGACCTAATACCATCAAATTGGGGGTGTAGGCTTCAATATATGAATTTCAGGGCCCACAAACATTCAGTCCATAGGTTTGGATGGTCAGCACTCTGAATACATAGATGTGAATATCTTTTAGGTGACCATATTGTGTTAATTTAAGCACCAAGTATTTAAGGTTCCTAAAAGAAACTATAGCAGAAGCAACACTTGAGTTCAGAGTGCTGAACCACAGACATCTCACAACCGTGTACCCTGGAAAAGTTCTAGCAATGCAACGTCAGTGGTTTCCCTCTGTACCCAGTGGAGTGCACTTCTGTCTTCCAGTGGAGCCAGCACCGACCCACTGGTACTCAGTCAGAAACTGACTAATCAGTAGTAACGTGAGTGGTTAAAACAGTAACACAGCCGCTTCAAAATTTCCTAACAGCACTACATCTCTTTTTTTGTAGAAGTCCCTGAATGAGGATGACCTGGGTCCTAAAAGGGTAGTTTCTCTACAGAAGGAAGTCAGTGAATGGACCAGACGGGCTGAAGAAGCAGCGGTCTCTATTCAGGATATCACTGTGAATTATTTTAGAGAAACAGTCACAGCATTAACAGGTAATACTAAAACCACTGTTCTAAGATATATGTAACTTTTATTTTACTCGGGAAACATTTGCATGCATCCTCAGTGTCAGGAACCAAATTTGCTGGGTACTGGGAATTCAGTGGAAGGATAAGCATGACCACTTTCTAGCCTGATGAGCAGAGAGAAGTGATATGTTCGTTCAGCACATGATAAATGGCAGAGGCGGTGAGCAACACTGAAGAAAAACCGGGCTCTGAGATCCTGTGAAAGCAATTGGGTCTGATTGGGGTGCTCAGGAAAGGCCTCCGACAGGTATGCTTGCCCCACACCTGAATAGTACACAGACTTGAGAGGAGTCGGCCATTTACAAAGGCTCTGTGGCTCAAGAGAACTTGGCAAATAGAACTTAAAGCCAGACCATTGAAGTTTATTTTGTCAGATATTAAAATGGCTACACCAGCTGGCTCCTTAGGTCCATTTGATTGGAATATCTTTTTCTATCCTTTTATCTTGAGGTCTTGAGGTGATGCCTATCCTTGATGTGAAGATGTGTTTCTTGGGTGCAGCAGAAGGATGGATCCTGTGTTCAATCCATTCTGTTAACCTGTGTCTTTTTATTGGGGAGTTGAGACCATTAATGTTAAGATGTCAATGAGCAGTGTTTGTTGTTAACTGTTATTTTGTTGTTGTGGTGGAGGTTTGTGTGTGTGTTTTCCCCCTTTGATTTGCAGTCTGGGATTATTTATTCCTTGTGTTTTCTTGGTTGTTGTTAAGCTCTATGGGCTGGTGTTTTCCTTCTAGTGCCTTCTGTACAGCTGAATTTGTAGACAGACATTGCTTAAACTTGGTTTTTATCATGGAATCTCTTATTTTCCCCATCTATTGTGATTGAAAGTTTCGCTGGGTACAGTAGCTTGGCTGGCATCTGTGTTGTTTTGGAATCTGTAGAACATCTGTTCAGGCCCTCCTGTTTTTTTTGGGGGGCGGATCTCATTGAGAAGTCAGGTGTTATTCTAATAGTTCTGCCTTTATATGTTATTTGGTCTTTTTCCCTAGCAGCTTTTAATATTCTCTCTTTTTCTGTACTTTTTTTGATTGTTATGTGCTAGCTCCGTGGACTTTCTTTCCTAGTCCAGTCTATGTGGTGTTCTTGTATGCTTCTTGGACCTTGATACGTAGGCATCTCCTTCTTTAAGTAAGGGAAATTTTCTTCTATAATTTTGTTGAGAATATTTTTTGTGCCTTTCTTTGACTGTGGTTTCTTCCCCTTTTCTATTCTGTTATTCTTAAAATGGGTCTTTTCATAGTGTTCCAGATTTCCTGGATTATTTTTTTTTTTTTGATTTAACATTTTCTTTGACCAAGGTGCTCATTTCTTCTCTCTTGTCTTCAGTACCTGAGATTCTCTCTTCCATCTATTGTGTTCTGTGTGGAGGCTTGCCTCTGAGGTTCCTATCAGAGTTTCTAAATTTTTCCTCTCCAGATTTCCTTCAGTTTGGGTATTCTTTATTGATTCTGTTTCTACTTTCACATTTTGAACTGTTTTATTCATTTTCTTCCACTGTTTATGTTTTCATAGATTTCTTCAAGGAGTTTATTAATTTCTTCTTCTTTTTTTTTTTCTTTGAGACAGGGTTTCTCTGTGTAGCTTTGGAGCCTGTCCTGGATCTCACGCTATAGACCAGGCCGGCCTCGAACTCACAGAGATCTGCCTGCCTCTGCCTCCCGAGTGCTGGGATTAAAGGTGTGTGCTGCCGCCTCCCCCACCACCCGGCCTATTCATTTCCTCTTTAAGGACCTCTATCATATTCATAAAGGTTATTTTGAGGTCTTTTTCTTGGGCTTCAGCTAAGTTGCAGTACTCACAGCCTGCTGAGGTACGGTTGCTGGGCTATAGAGGAGACATTGTCCTGGCTGTATTAATTGTGTTTTTGTGCTGGCATCTAGGCATCTGGGTTTGGGAAGATTGTGATTCTAGGAGCTGATATCTGGTCTTTGTGACATGTTTTGTTCCTTGGTTTCTGATGCCCTCTCTGGTTCTTTGGAGAGTGTGGTGGCTGTGTGTTGCCTGGTAGGAAATGCTTCTGGGATCCTGACTGCTGTGGCCCCTGGGGCTGGCAGGTGTTCTAGACAGTGGGAGCTGACACTTCATAACAGGGATGACTAGAGGGGGATATGAGGGGGTCCACTGGAGGGAGGAAAGCCTAGTGTTCCACCGGGATCTGCTTTGTCCCCTGGGAATGGGGGCAGAGAGTGAGGAGAGGCCACAGCAGCTGGTCTGCTACAGAGCTGGGAATGAGGCTGGGGAATTGGACTTGAGGAGCTGAGGGAGAGGTGAAGATGGGCATTTGGCTTCCCTGCTTCCCTGGCTGGAAGGGCCTGTGGGTTCCTAGGGAGTGCCTGCTGGAGTTGGGGACTGGGATAAGCAGTGAGTCAGGAGGGGAGTTCGAAAGGGAAGATCTGTGTGGTCCACTGGAGATGGGCTGGGGATGCGGAGGTCGGCCTCAGCAGGTGGTCTGCTGCAGAGCTGAGGGAGAAAACGGGAAACGGAATTGGGGGAGCTGAGGGAGAGGTGAAGATCTGCAGTTAGCCACCTGCTTCCCTGGCCACAGTGGCCTGTGGGTTCCCAGAGAGTGCCTGCTGGAGCTGGGGGCTGCTTCCCTAGCTGAAGTCAACAGTTTGCTTTCTTATACAACTGGGGACCACTTGCCAGGGGTGACATCACCCACAGTGGGCTAGGCCCTCCTACATCAGTCAGTAGTCAAGAAAATGCCATATAGACCTATCCACAGGACAGTCTGATGGAGGCAACTGCTCAATTGATGTTCTTCTGCCCAGGTGACTCTAGTTTGCGTCAAGTTGACAGAAACTAACCAGCACATCAGTATAGTAGGACCTGAAAGTCGATTGAAAGCAGAGTAATGAGTTTAATGCTGGCCAGACTGTTCACATGAGCCTGTCTAACCGTAGAAATAGTCTGGGACCAAGCTGTAAAAGCAGGTGACTCAGGGAGGTGGATCATGAGCTGTTATTGTCCTGCTTTTAAACTGAATACCTAAAATCTTCCTTCTATCAATGACCAAGTGTTACTTGTGTGACAATAAAATTATAAAGAGGTTTTGAAAGGATTTTATAAAAAGAAGAGCACTGAGGAAGGAACTCAGGACTCATTAATGTGTCGCATTTCTGTTTCCTTTTATTAATTATAAACTCAGGAATGCAGAAACAGATGGAGCAGGATCGGAAGAGATTTGGCCAGGCTGCCTGGGCCACAGCCATGCCCAGGCTAGAGAATCTCCAGCTCATGTTAGCTCGGGAGACTCTGCAGCTTATGCGAGCCAAAGAGCTGTGTCTGAAGCACAGGTGCGCCGAAATCCAGAGGAAGGTGAGATGAGAGCAGACAAAAGCACGCTGCCCTTTCCTCCTCGGCACTGGGGACCAGCTCCCTTTGTTTGTGTTTCCCAACACAGGCTTCCAGTAGATACGCTGCTAGTGAAGGTGGGCCATGATGCTCCCCTTCCTGCTTCTCAAGGTGTTTCTGAAACAGAGCCCAGGGTTTGTTTTGTAACACTGAGTTTAGGATTGGAGTGGGGGGATTCTCTTTAAAAAAAAAATCAGTTCAGCAATATGTTCAGTATGTAGTCATGTGTACACACACACACACACACACACACACACACACACACACACACACACACACCCTGTGACAGTGTTCTGGAGCCAACATCTTGCATGCAGGTGCTATGTAAGTGCTCCACCACTCTCCTATCCCAGTATAGCTAAGCGTGTGCTCCACCATATCCTAATCTAAGTGGCTCTTCATTGGCTCATAGTCAGGTAAGTAGTTTCTATAATCTTGGAGCTTCAAAACAGGATCTTGTCATTAGCTGCCTTAGATCAGGCTGCTTGTAAGAAGATGCCATATGTGGGCTGACTACAAAGATATTTAATTATTTCTCACAGCTCTGGAAACTAGACATCCAAAGATTGAGGTGCCTTCTTCAGATTCAGCATCTGGTGAGGGCTGTCTTGCTGGCTCTGGCCACACCTTGCTGTGTGCTCACAGGCCTCTCCTGTCTCTGGAGAAGAGACTACTAAGAGCCTTCCCACCACAGGGTCTTACCTCAACCTCATCAAAACTGATCACCTCCAAAGGCTCCCTCAGTACTGTCCCATTGGGGCTTAGAGTGCCAACATTTAAATTTGGGGTGACACCTTCCATCCCTGACATGGTCTCATTGCCATTATGTTTCTAGACCATGAATGTGTTGACTTGCTTTAAGGTGGAGTGTATGAATGCTGGAGGAGGTCAACTTGTCTTGAGATGAGGTGGAAGTGTCTCGGCGTGTCTTCTCTCTTATGTCGCCCCATGAAGATGCGTGGCAGTGTGCTCTTACTATGCTAATCATCCTCTCCTTTCTCCATACAAACCAGATGGAAGATCTTCCAGACCAAGGAAAGAACACAGATGTTGTAGATGAGCTAGAGATACAGTATTATGAGATTCAGTTGGAGCTGTATGAGGTTAAACTTGAGATCCTGAGGAGTGAAGAGATGATCCTTGTCACACAGTTGGACTCTGTGAAGAGACTTATAAAAGGTAACATTCAAGTTTATGTTAGAATGAAATTTTGAGTCACATGTTTCGAGGAAATATAGACCGATTATCAATTTCTTATAAATGGTCTGTTAAATCTATTGAATGTTTTTAATTTTCCTTCAGAATTTTTATTATTCAACAGTATATTCAAACACACAAGAAACAAAGAAAACCTTGTGACCATTGTGTAGAGGTGTTAAGTGAAAGCAAATTCCTGGTAACTTTGGAGGGTCTTTAAAATGTGCTACATACATAGAAATTAGTATCGGTTTTTAAAACCAAAACTGTATACTCTACCAAGTCACCTCATTTTTTTAACTTAATACACAATAAACTCATTTAAGTATTAATAATTTTTAAAACCCCTCAGAATTTTAATGGCTGCATAGTATTTCATTGTTTTACAGGCATACTGTGATTTCTGGTTTCTCCCTGTCTTGAATATCAGTGCAACAGAAAACTTTCCTGATAATTTATGAGATAAATTTCTAAAGAGAGAATGGTTGGGTTAAGGGCAATGCTTATTAACATTTTAATATCTATCTACCATAATGGCATTAGAACAGGAATTTGAAATACATCTTCCTCTTCCCTCTATTGTTTCTAGCTCCTGAATTTCCTAATAGCCCTAGAGAGACCACACAAAAGGATACCCTATCAGCAGGTGGGGGTGGACCTTCCACATTTATGCTGTTCTCTTTGAATTTCTAGATACTCGGTAGAGAGAATGGCATCTTACAGTTGTTTATTTAATTACAATTGATACTGAAAATAACTTAATGGACATTTTTCTTTGAGAAGTTTACCTTTTCTCCCCCACCCCATTTTTCTGTTCTTTCTGGTGTTTTGAACCAGGGTCTTACTATGTAGTTGTAGCTGGCCTCAAACCCACTTCAACCCTCCTGCCTCAGCCCCGCTGAGGGTGATCACAGATGTGCACCACCACACCTCACATCTGTTTTCCTTATTTTTATACAAGCTTTACTCACAGCCGTCCTTGTCCTCACCACCCCGTGTCCCCTCTGTCTCCCAGCAGTCCCTCCGCTGTCGTGCCTTCACACACAGTGTTACTGACTGCTGCTGGGTTTGGAAACGAGGTCCCCGCACTCGTGTGTGCCTGCGGTCCCTGCGGAGCTCACGCTGACACCCCTTGTTGCTGCTCATGCCCTCTGACTCTCTCACCTCTTTATTCTTCCAGATGAACTTTAGAATCAAACAAAAACTCCCTGGAATTTTGATTGGGATTGTGCTTAAAATTAGAGATTACTTGGGGAGAATTGTCGTCTTGCAGTTTTGATTCCTCCCACCCAAGATCATGGTAGGTCTCTCCACATCTTCAGTCTCTTTCTCCAGGCCTTCCAGTCCGATGGTCCTCACCAGGGCCTCGGCATTTGGTTAATCCTGGTACCCAAAACCTTTGCAGCTCTTTTCAGTTGTGAACATTTTATGCATTTATGGGGAAATTTTATTTTTAAACAGTTAATCTGGAAGGATGTTTTCCTTTGGGATGGGACTCAGGTTTGGGGATGAATTAGAAAACTTTTTATTCTGTGTGTTTCTGTAGAGTTTGGAATTGTTACAAGCATAGTTTAAAAAAATCAATATCTAATCAAAAGTGAAGACCGGCGAGACAGCCTGTGCTGTGCTGGGGCGTTTGGCATAGATATAAAGAACCCTGAACATTCATTTCATTTGCTAAGGAAGAAGTAAACACACACACACACACACACACACACACACACACACACACATACTCTCTCTCTCTCTCTCTCTCTCTGATATGAAGAGAAGTTTATCATCTTGAAATCGGAAATAACAGAATACTGGGACATTCTGAGAATGCTTGAGCTGGTGAATACTATGTGGCCATTAAAATGCTATTTCCAGCACACAGAACATGTTACTGTGTGCTGCTATGTAAGAAGTGTGTGTGTATGTAATGTTAATGCTGTTTTCCTCTACCTGATGTACTTACAGCTAGTCTTTCTTTACATTTAGAGACATTTTTGAATTATTTCTTACAGTAAAGCATGTCTAAGACAATCACTAATCTCTTTAGAGAAACAGGATGAAGTGGTCTACTACGACCCGTGTGAAAGCCCAGAGGAGCTGAAGGGCCTGGCTCACGCCCCAGAGCTGCACCGCGGTGAGAATGGAGAGCTGGGAGCGCTCGGCCAGCAGCGCCAGCGGCTGGAGGCCCAGCGGGGCCGCATCTGTGCCAGGAGGGCCCAGCTCAGGAGCAGAAGGGTACGGTCCTTCCAGCTAGGGCTTCACTCGAATTGAAGGTTTTATCTACTCTGTATATATGTATGTGTGTATGTGTAGTGAGGAATGTTCTGTGTGTTTTTATCTCTGTGGGTAGAGCCAAATAGATTTTAAAATTATTTATTGAATTTCCACTGTCTATAGTACTTTTTTTTTTTTTTTTTTTTTTTTTTTTTTTTT